TATATAAAATAAATAATATACATATAGTTTCCAGGGTGAGCACCTGCTCTTTATGAATGCAAATAACTGACAGATTTTTGCCTGGTTATTTGGTCATCAGGTCTGCTCTTTGCTCCCACTCACCAACTGGCCACACAGAGCTGGGCTAGGCAAGGAGATTCTCTAAGCTCCTACTACAGCTGAGACTCACGCAAACATGCCTGTGCACTGGCAAGTTCAGGAACAGTGAGGGGGAAGCAGGACCACCGTTGGGCAAGAAAAGCCTTCCAACAACAGCCTATAAATACTCTCCCTAGCATAGCCCCTGGCAGTGGGAAATGCACCTGACCATCACTGACATTTTGGGGTACAAAAGTCAGAATGGGACTCCTGAAAGAAACCACTGAAGAGACAAGTACTCTGTTTATGAGCTGTAAAAAGTGATTTTACCAGATTCTTCTGTTTCTTTCATCTCTGATGGATCTTCTATTTCTTCGTCAGACATTTCCATTTCCTCCTCTCTTCGAATACCCATTAGTTCATCATTATGAATGTTACGAATTTCCTACGGTTCAGAAAGTAGAGGATTTTTTAAAATACACAATAGAAGGAACAGACTGGTTGGATAAACAGATGCTGCAATCTAAGTCTGCAATATGCAACTCCATGATACAAAAAAAAGAGGAAGTGATGAAAAAAATTTGGCACAGACTATTAATCAAGCACAATATCTAGCACGAGTCAATCCATCAATGCTATTGGTATTACCAATTCTTCCAACTCCCTTCTCCTCCTTGCCCACAGCGTAGTCCCTCGGTGACCCCTCTCCCCATACCCACACGTCTCTCCTATGTTTAGTGCTGCCCAACCTCATTCTCCACCGGGTCACTACCTCGTGTCTTCTTGCTTACAGCACACATCTACATCTAACTCCCATCAGTGCCGTCCCCTGCCCCGCACAGCCAAGGGCTGTACCGCTCCTATCCTTCCCTGCCCCACACTCCCCTGCTCAGCGCCTGTGAGGGATGCACCCGCTCCAAGCAAGTGGTACTTTGGTTCAGCCATCACCGACAAGGATGCCCAACTGACTCAGCCCTGCTGTGCAAACCATCAGAAATTGTGCCAGGCCGTATCTTCTCAGGAGCTAACAGTACCAGCCTGAGCTGGGCCTAGACCAGACTAACACCACTACAGCTGCACCCCTGCACATACGCTGAAGGCGCGTTTGGCTACGAGTCCATCACTTGACGCTACAAATAGCTGTAGCCCCCCAAGCCCACTGAGCTCTCCTGTACGGCAGCGGGCTGCACAGTGGGGATCTCCCTTCAGCAGGGACACCTCTCAAGGTCATCCCTCAAGGCCGAGACTCCCTTTACCTGGCATCTGCTATCTGTAACAAGGTAAGTGACACTTTATGTTATGCCCAAAAGTCTATCATATGCTAGCAACATTCATATTTTTATATATATCCAGCTATAGCTTAATTGTAAGTGTAGTAAGAAGTAGAGTGTTTGACTGCCATCTAGCCACTGCCAAAGTGCTGTTTAATTATATTCAATTATTGCTTAATCACCATTTGATTACCATTATCAGTCAATCATTGTTTAATTATCATTTGATCATTGTTTAATCATCAGTAGCTACCTCCTACACTGGTCCCTGAGCCACCCCAGCTCCTGCCTGTGTCCTTTCTGCTCCATTCACCGTGCCCAGGCAGAGCCGGCCCCATCCCTACCTGCTCCTCCAGACCAGACCCCCTGCTCCGGCCAGCTCATGCTAGGCAGAGACCAAGCTCTGCACAGACACACATCAGTCTGTTTGCAAGGCAAGGAAATGCCTTGCCCAGCCTCTCCATCCCCTCTGCAGAGCAGGAAAAGCAACATTCAGAAAACAACAGTCAGTTATTCAAGGAGATGGAGATGTCAAGAATACTTACTAGAGGCTAGCAGAGGCGGCCGGGTGTCCCTACCCAAGGTCAATTTACCACAACTTCACTTGGCTTATACACCCCAGAAACAGCCACAGGAGAAAAGATACAGAAGTTTCGCTTATGAAATAAAATTTGTGTCCAGCTCTTTGTAGATTTTACTCTAATGGCCTGAAACTTTCAAAAACTCTGCTTGCCAGCGCTGAGCACATGTCCACCAAGAGCAGCCAACAGGGAAAATGACCATGCTTTCAGCTTGGATGAACAGACACCTTGGGGACAGCAACGGGGAAAGGGCAAGAACAAGGCAGATCCGAGCACAATGGGCAGCGCTGCCTATGCTTCCAAGGCAACTGCTGCCTGCCCCAGAGACCACCTGTAAAATGGCAGCGGGTCAAAGATCAGAGGAAAATCTTCCCATCGTCTTTAACTGACTCTGCTGAACAGCTGAAAGCCTAAAGCGGCCTTGAAGCTGGCGAAGGCTGCGCAGAGCACAGCACCCAGCAGGGCCAGGCCTGGCTGGGTGGCACAGCAGGCTACGCCATGGTTCACCAGCACCCTGACGGCGCCCAAGGGGATCCCTGGGTGGGAGAGGAAAAAGTGTCAGAGAAACCAAACACTTGAGCAAGGTCCTTCCTAACCAAGGGAATATGCTGGCTGGTAGCGACTGTAGCATGGTGGTTCACTAGCTCTCAACCTTCCATTGCTTCTTAATGAGCTGCCTGCAGCTACAGGACCTGCCGGCACTGCCTGGGAAAACCACCTTAAGTCACCATTGACAAAGACAAAACCCTGGCCTAGCTAGCCTAACGACTCCCCAACACATACCTATTCCCTGAGCTGCCCACCAGGCTTTCCCCCGATGCGGTGATCCACAGAATTAAACTCTGCCAAAAGCTGTATGAATCCTGTGGGTCCACCTTCCTTTAAGAGAAGACCCTAAGCTGGGGGAGCCCAGCAGGCTGAGCCCAGCAGCAAGGACTCCTGGAAGAGGTCTCACCAGTGGTCTCTCAGCCAATTCCCACCTGGAGAACTTACCTTGGAACAAAAGACAGCTCCAAATGGAGAGAGTGCTCCCACCCCAGTCATAGTAAGCAATCTCAGTAAGCAGGAAAGAACAGGAGCACTAAGGCTCAAAGTAGAAGCATAATCTGAATCAGACTCTGTATCTGGTTTATCAGGTATAAAACGAAACGTTAGCTCCTCCTTTAGCTACTACGAAAGGTTTGACTCAGTGGGATTTGGAAAGAAAGTCCCAGAAGTGCAGTCTCACGGCGAGATCACAGCTGGAAATGTCCCAGGAAGACCCAGTCATTTTGAATTTTCCAACACTGCGGAGGGTCGATCATCTGCTTTTTGCCAGAAGGCCGCTGGCTGGGTATTATCCAACTCTACAGGCTTTTCTCAGGTGGTAGCTATATGGGAAGGTGGTCTGCACATGCCCAAACTAGCAGTGATCATGGATCACCAGCCTGTCAACTTTGCCCAGATTTACTTTTGATGTTAAATAATCTTAAAGGTGAAAGATGACTTCTGGGTTTGCCGGGATAGACTTGTTTTCCAAGCTTGTAATAAGGAACTCGATACCCAAGAAAAACACAGAACCACAGGAAGATTTACGCTAGAGGGAAGGGACGCCAACCAGAGGGACCTGGACAGGCTGGAGGAGTGGGCCCACGTGAACCTCATGAGGTTCAATAAGGCCAAGTGCAAGGTCCTGCAACTGTGGTCCCAGTATCGATACAGGCTGAGGGATGAACAGGTTGGGAGCAGCCCTGCAGAGAAGGACTTGGGGGTACTGGTGGGTGAACAACTGGACATGAGCCAGCAATGTGCGTTCACAGCCCAACCATGTCCTGGTCTGCATCACCATCAGTATGGCCAGCAGGCAGAGGGGGGGATTCTCTCCCTCTACTCCACTCTGATGAGACCCCCCTGGAGCACAGAAATGGTCCGAGGGCTGGAACCCCTCTGCTATGAACACCGGCTGAGAGAGCTGGGGTTGTTCAGCCTGGAGAAGAGAAGGCTCCAGGGAGACCTTAGAGCAGCCTTTCAATATATAACATGCAGAGAGGATATTGTGTCACTAAATTTGTGCTTCCCACAAAGGCTTTCCAATATATAAAGGGACCTACAAGAAAGACAGGGAGAGATTTTTTACCAAGGCCTGTAGTGACAGGACAAGGGGCAACAGCTTTAAACTAAAAGAGGGCAGGTTCAGACTGGACGCAAGGAAGAAATGTTTTACGATGAGGGTGGTGAGGCAGTGGCACAGGCTGCCCAGAGAAACTGTGGATGCCCCATCCTGGACGTGTTCAAGGTCAGGCTGGATGGAGCTTTGAGTAACCTGGTCTGGTGGGAGGTGTCCCTGCCCAGGGCAGGGGGGCGGGAACAGGATGGGTTTTAAGGTCCCTTCCAACCAAACCCTTCTGTGATTCTCTGGTTCTAGGCATAAGCACTCTGGAAGACAAGTCTTTTAAGAAACCATATGAAAGTTCCTAACAGAAATAACCTAACAGAACCAAACAGAAAACTTTATCATGTTTCTGCTTTGCAGACAAAGTTCAACGTTCTTTATTACTACACCATGAAGGTTAAGAAAGCAAAGCCCATACAGCCCTTATATGTGACCTCTTTCTTTATAGAGAGGAATTATACATATACAGTCTCTGTCCAGAAGAGAAATTTCTCCTCTCTATAAATCATGTTCTTATCTCAAATCTGTCATTTATGCCTTTGCAGACGAAATCTATGGGGAGGCTTAATCAGCTACTTGATGCATTTTTTTTCTGTCGGTTAACATTACACATACATTGGTGTATCAATGCGTCACCATTTCATTAAATATTAATGTTGACCTATACTAGAAAATAAGGATAACATACATCACAAACATTTTGCACTAACACCTAAGAGTGCTGGATTAATTACCATTTCACCAAAAATAAGCCTGTAAAATCCTTTCTACATGAAAATCTATAGTGATCCACTTCTTTCATTTCCATGCCTTGGTTGAGACAATCCCATGTCTTTCACAGAAACTAACACCTCTCAGATTAACAGGTTTCTTTTTAGACACTCATTACAGGCTCAGTAAAAAAAAAGATGGTATTTTAACACAGTTCAGACTAACAACCCAGACTAATGTTTTCAGAGGTGGTTTAAGCAGACCTGTCCTGTTTCACACTCGGACAAGACCAGGGTCTGAGACACAGTGCCTAGCACTGGATGAAGAAATGGTGAAAACTTACAAGCGATGCTCTGTGAGCTTGGTGTTCTTGCAGAGTCACAGCTACCTAATGAAATCACTAAACTTAACATTGTCATTTTCCAATACAAATGTACTGGAAATGGAAAATATTTGTGCGCCATTTCTTCTTCCCTGTTCTGAGTGTCATCAGGAAAGAAGTGATGATGGAAGTAATTTCTTCCAGACACATCAGCATACCCCACATGGGACTGATGTGCTACACAGGCAACTTCAGTACAGCCTAGCCTTCAAATCCCTAATAGAAATCAGTGTACGTGTCTGATGGACTGGTACACTGTGGGGATTTGGGTAGAATATATGTGCTCTCTGGCTTGGGGCTCTACTTTTGAGACAGACATCTGAATACTGCAGAAGAGAGATCTGAGAAGGAGTAGCTGAACAGGATTTCAGTATCGTACTGAAAGATTAACTGAACAAGACACTGCAGTTGAAAGCTAACCTTGCTCTTTATTTGCTGCTTTATGGCTTGCATATTAGAGTCCTTTTCCCTAGGAACAAACGAGCACTTCAGAATACATTTGTCTTTTACCACTGCCTTCACCTGGGTGAGTGTCATGAAGCACCTCCAGGCTTTCAGCTCTACCTAATCTATACAGGCAGACACAGGCACGCTCCTGCAGAATGACTGTGTGCTAGAAGTACTGAGTGCAATCCACAACCGGGAGTCAAAAAACTGGTCTTCCAGAGAATTACTGGGCACATTAGGCAAGCACTTCTTCAGTCGGTGCCTCCCCTTTCCCCATCTCAAGAGAGAACATTCACTACTGGCTGCACAGGGCTCTGGAAATCCACACGATGAGGTCCAGCAGTCAGCAACCTTTGCTTTCCAAGCAAGGGAACCAAAACAAAGAAAAATTACAATCCAAAGCTATCAGGCAGAGTAGGATTTCTTGCCCAAACCTGACTAATCAGCAGTGCGTGCAGACAAGACCCTCTCAGCTGTTTAGACATCTGTCATGGGAACACTTAGACAACAGTGCCAAACATCCAACTCCTTTCCAGTCCCTCAGCCACGACTGCCATCTTACACGTCCAGATTGATATTCCCAGCACGGCTTTGTTGAACACTGGCAACCCACTGGGCTGGAATCCTGCTTAAGGTTATGCTGAGATGCGAAAGCATCTGCTTTGCCTTATTTCTGACACATAAATTACAAGATCAGCTCCAAACTGCTAGTGTTTCTGCAGTGAATAAAGAATATTTCCAAACACAGCCCCCTGGATTTATGCTAAGAGGCAGGTAATTTTCATAGCAGATCTTTTCTGCACTTCAGATCTGGGTCCTACTACTTCAAAGTAGTCTTCATTGTCAGTGGTAAAAACTGATTCAAGCTCCACCCTACTTTAAAAGCTTAACGAGCAAGAAAAATACAATTTCTTGCTCTTTCCTTCAACACTACTCATACCCCAGAGTGACAATACTTCTGTTATCGCTTTGAGCATCAACCTTGCTAGGGAAGGGACACAAAAGCGAGACTCCAGGTGAGACAAGTTCTGACTAGAAGACCCACCACAGGGCTCTTCCACCACTCTTGGCAGTCCTCCATGTTCCCAGGAGCACAGCTATCTCCTCCCTTCTTCCTCAGGACAGACAAACATCAAGATGGGCTTCACTGCCAGATGCAGCCAAGCAATGTGACACCCCTACTATGTAGGTGACAGAAGGCAGTGCGTATTCCATCAGACCCCAGGACAAACATCTCCCAAACCCATCACTTTCCCAAAGAACAGCCTTTCTTTACCTTAGCTTTAGTTTTTCTGACATTGTGCCTGACTCCAGTAAGATTTGATAAGACCAAATAAGGGACTGAGAACTATTCTTCCTCCTGCAGGAGGAGCCGTTTGAGTGACATGCCTCCTTCTATCAACCCCACCCTTGTCACTGCCTTTAAATCCCATACTTCACTAGCAACGTTGCTGCATGGGATAAACACACAAATATGAGAACATCCTCCCTCAAGTTTTCCAGGCTGTCCAGCTGCAGTTATTTCCACCTCTCAAGTCTGTCAATAAGAGTGTGATAAAACAGATCTCTGACGATGCTTAGGGCTGGTTTCTTTTTTTCTAAACATCCCTCTAGAAATCCCTCTTGCTTTTACATTAAAAATAGCAGAAAACAGATCAATAATTATTATTGTGCACAACTTCAAACAGCATACAGATCTAAAGGTATTGCTACTAGTAACACAAATACCGAGAGAAAATTTATTACCTGTAACACAAGAGACGACTGAGTAATTCCCATCTTACACTGTCAATTAAGGTGTTGTTATCCATACGAGCATTGTGCAAACTTAACATCAATATCCTGACAAGAAAGAGACTGTGCTCGAGGATCTAACACAATAAAAAGTTACCAACCTCTGCTTGTTTGCACCACACGCTGATGTTCTTACGCTGAGCTTTCGTGAAATGGTCCCAAGCCTTTTGTTTGGAGGCAGAATGGTACACGGCCACTATCTGCTCGACTGTAGTATCAAATCAGCAGTCAAATCAGGCCAGAATATCATCCAGAGAGGGCGAACAAGAGGAGTAAAGGAGTAAAAAAGTGGAATCAGGCAGGTGGTTTGGCTAACCTTTTCTTATAACACTGTACTGTGCTGAAGCTATGCTCAGGAAAGGGACTTTGTGCCTGGAAAGAAAAGTGGGGACTTCACCAGGCCAGCATCAAATGCTCACAGAGTAATGATCAACTGGGAAAACGGCATCTGCTCTCAACTGGGAAAAAGGAAGGCACATGTTGCGATGAAAAAAATATTCAAATATGTTGCGCAACACTGCCTATGAGTGTAACAAGTACACCCGGGTAGCACTTGCTCTCTAAAATGGGACGATTAAGCACAATTGTGAAAGCTGGCACTTTGGATGTTCTTCTGCCCAGTGGGCACAGCCCCAAAGAACAGTGCCACAGTCTGAGCATGACCGCATCCCGCCTGCGCATACTACAGAAAAGGATTCTGGCATCAGCCATCAACTTTTTTTGTTCCTGAGGTTTATTCCCTCTGTTTATTTAGAAAATTTGCAGAGGTTTTTGGAAATACAAAGTGTCTCTCCTTGGATGAGAACTCACCCAACAGCAGAACGCACATCTACCTGATTTTTTTTTTTTTTTACATGCTTGTGATGTTGTAGTAGGCATAATTCTTACAAAATAAAAATCAACTCTCTGCCACCCTAGATTAAGTTAAGAGTGGCTGAGATATTAGTGGGTGTTTTACAGAGTGGAGCCACATGCTACTGTCTGTTACTACTTACTCTGCAGTGCTTACTGTATTTCCCTCTGGACCATGTGCCCGTATTTTTTACCATGAACAGAATTTTAAAAAAAATTTTTTTAAATTAATTATTAAACAAGTAATAGCCAAAATTATTGACCCAAAAGTTAAGAATGTTCACAACCTAACCAAGAGGCTCAAAGAGACTTAGTACTATTGTGGAGAAGGTACTCTGAAAGGTACTCAAAAAAAAAAGTGAAAAAATATTCAGACTTGCTAAAGAAAGGATGTGTAAGAGGCAATGAATGGTTTGAGGAACTCTTACAAGTCACATTCTGGAACTAATATAGCCCATGCCTCTTCCTTGATTCCATGGTTTAATAAACTACTGGGATTTGAAAGACCTGGGTTCAAAATGCTGGTCTGCAACAGGTTTTCAGTTGTGATTGAGAACAGTGTGTTGGGAACACTCTGCTGCATCCTACCTTTGGCGAATAAATCCTGTACACTTCGCAGGGGCACCAGATTACCAGGAACTTACCTTGTCTGTGCACAGAAGTAGAGTTGAAAAGATGACAGAACTACTAATAGACTATAATTAGAAGAGGAAAAAAATTAAGAATTCATTCTCTCCTCCCCCCAGATGTGGACTCTTACTCCAATAAAAAGTACCAAAATAAACTTTTGCCAAGTTAATGATACATGCTCATAAATTAACTGTAGCTGCACAGAAGCAATTACTACTTCTTCTCCTGGAGCCCTTCTAGCACGGCCTCTCAACACTCTAGAAATTAAGCGTCTTCCCTACAACAACAGGCAACCAACATTCAGCGTGGAAACACTACTCACACTGAACCAGAATCCCTGAGAGAGCAAGTTTGAATTTCTCTTTAGCTTCTTCCATCTCTTTCTCGTGAGCTGCTTTTTCGTTCACTAGTCTGCGAATGTGGCTGTTGGCCGACTGGATCATGGAGTAGAAGTTGTTGGCAGTCCTCCTGTTCACTTCTCCACGCTCTATCCAGGTCAGCAAGGTCTGGATGGCTTCTAAGAACTTTGTGTCATCTGCAGCAAGGACAGACATCTTTACACCACTGAAGTACAGGTTCACCTGTGCAGCTTTCAGATCCTTTCCCTGGCACTGCTGAACTGCTCTCTTTCAAAGGTCAACTTACTTCACAATTCTTGAAAGCACAGTATTATCTAAATACAAGGCTATACAAAGGAAGGTAAGTCTAACATCAAGCTGACAGAGCAAACCATCTGTTGAGGTACAACAAGAGGACCACCAACTGCTAGAAGCCTACTGGAAAACTCATATGCCTATTCAGACGTACTCTTTCACAAAAGAAAATATCCTCCAGCTCCAAAATCATCAGGCCACACATGGGTCTTAGGCTTCAAAGAAGGTCTTAGGACTTACACTAGTCCTTTTAACACGGATAAAAATGTTTCAGAAGAAACTGTTGTAGTCAAGTATAGGTTTGTTTTTACAAAACGACAAAAAATTCTGAACAAGAGAAGGCTAGGAGAGCTGCTGTGTGCAGTCTGAGGGCTCAGTCTGAATGAGCTCTGCAAGGACTAGCTGGCACCATTATTTCTGTTCAGCAAGGCAACCACTGGAGAATACAGATCTCTGTCCCAGCACCTGCACAGAAGGGCGGCCGTGCCCACAGAACCACTCACCTTTCAGTTTCTCAGCGACCACGCTACACTCATGGTCGGAGTAATGGACGATGGGAGGTGGGGAGGGTGGGCGGAAGCGCTCCTCTTCCAGCCTCCTGCGATGGCGTTCCTCCCTCGCCAGCATCCGCTGCTTACACTCCCACTCGTACAGATCATCCCGAGCCTGAGCAAAATCCACGTGCAAGCGCCCAGTATCCTTCTTGTCAGTGCTGGAGCCCAGCCTGATGCGATAGCCTGGCAGCGACGACAACAGTGTTCAGACAGGACAGGCGACTTACCTTTGGCTCCAACCACCCACCAGTGCCTGTGTCTCATCCCTAGAGAGCCAGAAAGCCCCTGAACAGAAGAGTTTACTGAAGGGTTTACTGCACAGAGAGTGGTGCTGGAAAAGGAAACATCGTTAGGGGGTTTGCTGCTATCTGCCTGTGTTTTGCACATGCTAGGCAAGATCTCATGTGGGCTGTTACTCCTCTAAACATTAGCAGGTACTTGGTCTCAAATAGCAACTGTTTAATTGCACATAACCTCTCAGGCTGTGGGACTAAGCCCAGCTGTTCACATGGGGAAGGCAGAACTGCCTTGGATTCTTCCACACTTTCACAAACTCCCAAAGTTGTGGATGGGAAGGGGGGAATGAGAGGTGAGACACAGCAAAGAGGGCAGCAGATGGAGAGTGGTTATCTTTGAAACAGCCCCCATTATCCGGTGGGAGCAGGGAATAAGGTCAGCAAATGTGCACGTCCACTGTGTGGGAACTCTTCTCACTAGCACAATTTGCAGGACTCCTTTTCTGGAGTTTCACATCAAACATCAAATCATTCAGGTGGGATGTATGAAGAAAATCTGAACTACAGACTTTGTACAAAGAACAAACCCAGACACAATGCTTGCATGTGCAGGACACTGATGACTACACACATGACCATGGCTTTGAGCAGCAGGAACTATAAGCAGAGAACGCCTCCAGCTAAAGAGGCAGTATTGGCTACGTAGAAGCAGTAACTGTAAATACAGATGGCTCTTACTAACAGGGCATTGCAAGTCTAACTCAATTCAACTGGTTGTAAGCATTGCATCTCATTCCAGAGACAGTCGAAATAGACTACAGAAAAGTTTCCATTATTTTAAACAGCAAAGAGCACTTCCCTCACTTATCTTGACAGTCTCATCTCTCTGGAAAGGGTATGGGCTTTGGAGGCAGTACCCTGGTTTGTTAGTGTACTGAAAGAAAGGATTTCGAAGGGGTTTTAGCATGGAAACAGAAAGTACTACTGTATTTTTCTAGAATGGTGAAGAGGCAGGTGAAGAGGCCCGGCTGCTCAGGGCAGATGTAACCAGCACAGCAAATGCAGGCTTGCCTGGAAATACACAATCTGCCAGCCAAGCAGAGTCTGTGAACACCAACTGTGAGGTCTCTGTCCTCCATGAAATGAACCTCTTAAAACCTTATGGAGGCAGAACAGGGGCTCCCTAGGCAAAAGGAGCCCAGGTGTTTCAGCTCTGATGACTAACAAGCAAAAAAATACTGATGAAAGTCAAGCACACCATCCAATTAACAAGCAATTGACACCAATTGCAAGTTTTTGTAGGACCCTTAAGCATTTTCTACAGAATTGGCTGAACATTTATCCAGGTAAGATGGGGATGGACTCTGATTGTACCTCATCCCAGTATTTTGTAGAGGTTTGCAGCACCCAAGGTAACAAAGCATTGCTATCTTTCCTATCGGGAGCTGTTTTCATGTACTTAAGCAGAAATGCAACAGCAGCAGGAAAAGAGGCGAACTGACACAACATTAGACAAATCTTCCAGTTGTAGCAAAGCCTATCATTATGACTATAAAGAAGTCATTACATTTCCATCCCAGAATTTTAAGCTGCCATCTGAGTCAGAAATATACCTACCAGAAAGATAAAGTGCCTTGTCCACCATGAACTCCTCAGCAAAGCGGATATGACAGAAATTCTTCTTACTCTTTCGAATAGCTATGACTTCCCCACACTGTTCAAACACTTCCATAATGATCTGCTCAGTTCCGTTTTCCGGCAGTCCTCCAACAAACACCGTCTTACACCCTGGGGGCCTCTCTCTTGTTGCTGGAGGGGGAAGATCTGAAGAGAGCAAGAGAGAGAAAGCAGACCAGGTTAGTTTTTGGGTTGTCAGCACACGTTCCTTCCATCTGCCCACCTTTCCTGAGAGAGGACCATACCTTCCTGGCTTCCTTCAAACATACACCTAGCTACGCTGCACTCGACTTTACCAAGCAGCAGATCTATGGCACTACTGAGGTGCTATACGAAAATAAGCACGTTTACCAGCCTGTTTCCAAACAAAGGATCTCAAGAGTCTGAAGCCCTCCAAACACTCTCCCTAGTGCAAGCAAAGGCTCACTGAGCTCCTGTCATAGAACGTCAGCAGCACCAGGACCTCAAAACTTTATCATGAGAGGTGTTATACAAGCACAGCTTAAAGGACATCCCAACATAAAGAATACACAGAAAACATATACAGAGGATCCTAAAGGGCAAAAAGCTATACAGAAGTCCGTAAAGGGTACAAAAGTATTAATGTTAAGGAAAGGTCATGAATCAAATTTAGACTGAAAAGATATCATGGAAGGAAGAGATGAAGGAAATGGGTATAGCCAAGAGGTGTAGAAGGAATCAATCATTTTTTTACCTGTATGGCTAAAACGAACCACAGAACATAAAAGCAGGCTGAAAGTTAAGCCTAGTTCACCAGAAGCAGGGTGCCATGTATGCACACCTACCCACCTGTAACACTGCAGCACACAAAAGAGACTGCGTGAGACTGCTGTCACTTGGAGAAGTGTTTCTCCAGCACCGAACTCATTTCCATGCTCAGTGCTCGCCTGGCAAGTGCGGTGAGACCCTCCCAACTCAGTACGTGAAGGCCGAGAAGGATTATGTGCTTGTTACCTGGTGTTTCTTAATATCTGGAAAATCCTGCATGAATTTCAGTGCTGAGATCCATTGCCCCTCGTTAAGTTCACAGAACTACACCACTTACATATTTATTTAACAAAGTAGTTGTATTACATTCTTCTAATTCTTTGGCATATTTCCAGCAAAGTTCTTCCAAAAGCAGTTACTGGGATTATTTTCTTTTTGTTTGGAAATGGCTCCTTTTGGTTCCCACATCAAGCCTGGCCACTGACTTGCTACAGCCTTATGAAACAACACCCTTAACCTTTTCTGTAAACTCCAGTACTGCGCCAGCGGTTCCTTTTAACGCCCTACTCTTTCACTTCACAACAGAAGCTGCACAGCAGCGCCTGGCCAGGAGCTCACCCAGTCCAGTGCCAGCTTGTAGCAAGGGTCTCCAGGAAGGACTCATAAGCTCTATGAGATGCTGAGGCTGTTATCTCAGGATAACATTGACCACAGCTGCTAGGTTTTCCCTGAAAACCTGAGATCCAAGTTTAATCCCCTTTCCAGTACAGCTTCGCAACCTCAAAGTAGTCAGAGGGAATGTTTGATATCAGTATCAATTTTTCTTGGAAACTTCCTAAACTACCAGCCCTGATCACATCTCCACAGTCTAACATTTGTATTGAACACAGTTTTACACAGACCGTATCTCAGATCAAAGGACATATGTTAGGTCTGCCATAAGTACATGAAACACAAGATAACAGCTGTAACAGAGGATGCTGAACCCACACTATCCACATTTTGCAAAAATCCATTCCCAAAATAATCGGAATAGGACTTCTTTTAAAATTTTCTGCTAGACTGGCTCAGAGGAAGAGAGATTTCACCCTGGCAAATACCCCTGACAGTTATTTGTCAGGAATTAACATTTCAGACTGCATTCATTTGCAACGCCACACTAAAGGAGGGATTAAAGCAGCAGGAGAACCAGAGGAGGACAAAAGTCCCAGGAAACAGGACCAAGCACGTCTCTTGGAGCCACGAACAGAAACGTACGGGTCTGGATGAAGTCAAGAGCCACTTTGCTACAAGAAGGGGAGGGAAAGGTCTTCAAAGCAGATAAAACATCACTGGAAGCAACCTGCAGCACCAAGAAATGTCAGTAGCCCTGATGGATGAGAAAGAGTATGGAGAGTACAAATACAGGAGAAGGGAAGCAGGAAGAGACATGCATGCAGGAGCACCTCGGTGGGAGTTCAGCCTACACCACGTACACAGACCTTAGGCTGAAAAATCACTGTGAGCGTGGCTAGGAGAAATCTGGGAGGAATACATACCTCAAAAGCAGTGTCCGAGTGTTACTGTGACGGTTACTTGTTTGCCATCATGAAGAGATGCATTTTGTTACACATTCGGAGGCCAGGAAGGGACTAACAGCACATCTTCCTTCTGACACAGTATTCGAAATTCTTGAACTGGCTCATCAACAAGTATTTAATTTTAAAAAAAAAAAAACAAACCCCAACGTAAAAAAAGGCAAAACTGTTTCCAGGACAGCGAGACAGGTTTTCTTCTGGGGATGGTGAACTAAGAGATAAAACAGACTGGACATTGCAAGAGTTTTGTTTAAAATGCTGGGCACAGGAGCACCACAGACTCCCGTTGCTGGGAGCCCATCAGGCTCAGGTGCCATCTGCTGGCACCTTCTTATGAATTATACATAGACACGCAGTCACAAACACTTCCCATATTACTCTCTGCATAACGAAAGCCTCTTATTTCCAGCGAAGAGCACCTCTTCTGAAAAAATTAAGTTGTCATTTTTCATGTAATACCTGACTTGGCAGAGGAAAAACTGCTGAGTGTAGGGGACTGCATCCTAGGCCACAGAAAGAGAGGTCACCAGAATACATGGTAAGGGACAGAACTGCATTTCACTTTTACATAAAGGCATGCTCTGAAGTTGCTTTCTGACAAAGACTGTAAGCCCACTCTCCCCAAAGCAGTGTCAGGTCTCACAGTGATATTTGGCAAAATACTGACCAGCTCCAGGCTACAGCCTGGCTGGCTGCTGGAATAAAAATATTAATCAGCCTTCAGGTGAAGCAGATTGTCTCATGGCCACAACAGTTTGTTACTAATTACCAGACTGGGAACTAGCTTCACACCACCACTTAGCAAAATCAACTAAACTCTGTACTGCAACTGTGGACACCGCAGACTTACCTGCTCAAGCTACACCTGCGCACAGAGATCCATACCACCTATGAAAGACACGTCCATGCAGATATGTCTAATTTAGGCTACAGCCAAGACAATTGTCTAGGTTTCTTTCATGGCTAAGGGATGAAAACAGGCTCCTTCAGAAGTATTGCTTTATCTTGTAGGTAGATGTCTAGAATAGACAAATCATCACCAAATACTGACCTCTCTCCTTCAGCTGTAAAGGGAGTCTGGAAGATTAATCCAGATAGTAAACATGCTGAGATGGAACACACTTCACCTAATTTTAGATACCTTCAGCATAGGTTTCCCCACAAGCTAGTCACTCTGTGCTCCCCTTATAATCGTAAGAGCTGGGCAGCAAGGCCTGGGGAGACTCATCTTCCTCAAAAGCAGACAAAAATATTTGCTCATACAAACTGCCCCAAACTCCACTAATTGCTCTCTAGTGATGCCAAAGGGGCTGCAGGTGCCAAATGGAAAGGTCAATGGTGAGGACAGCCTAGAAAAAAAGGTAAGAATAGGTTCATCTGGACCATCTCAAGCTCCTTCTGAGTGGCCACTCCTGGCAGTAAAATTTGTCAGGATTATCCTGACAAAGATAATGACAAAGTTGTACGGGCAAAATCATCTCTGCCACGCAAGCACGTCACCGGGGAGAAAACACCAGCAGTTGAGTGTCAACACGGGATGCTTGAAGAGCCAAAAGGATGAAGAACGATTAATTAGGGATGAGAAGCTGAACTGACACTGAGGGATAAAGCTTCTTGCCTAAAGGGTCTGCACAGGTAAAATCCTTAACAGCAAAACTAGCATTAGGATTTATGCTTCCTTCTTTCTGATCTCTGGAAAATAAGGAAATATTCCTCTAGTTTCCTGAGACAGAGTCACTGAGGTCTGCAATCAACATCCAGATTCTCAGGATGGAGAGACAGAGGCCATAACACGCTAAGACACACATACCAGAACGTGACAGAACAAAACCAATGTCGCTCCTACACTCTCCCAAGGGCATATGAGACCACGACAACGGGATAAGGCCGAGGCCTCGCCAAGCACTCAGGAGGTATTGCCATGGGGGCTGGCACTGATGTCCCACTGCTGTTTGTTTCTGCAGTTGCCACTGTGGGCCAAAGGTATTTGTTTACTGAGCAGAGAGAGACTAAACCCTTCCAGTCCCAGCTGCTTTCTTTGGGGCTTGCCCTTGAAAAAACAATATTTAATATTGATTTTCTTCCTCCCCTTCAGAGAGCCAACAGTGACAAGACGTTCCTAAGTAGTGCCCACCTGGACAGCCTACCTCCTCCAGGGCTCCAGCTGGAGCAGGGCAGTGAGTCAGAAGGCAAAGCTCTGCCCTCTAAAACAGAGAGGTTTTAGCAGCTTGCCAAGAGCAAGCAACCTGTAGACAAGCAGTAATCATTTTGTGAAAGTAACGAACCAAATTTAAGATGGTTTTCACATGGCAGTCTTGGCCTTGGCCTTTTCACAAAGGCAGAATTGACCTCGAGAGTTCAGCACTGGTCAGAGTAATAAATGAACTAGAACCTGTATGCCAAAGCAAGGGGGAAAAAAAAAAGCCTCCCCCTGCAAGCCTAACTGGATGAGTAACCACTCCAAAAAAGACTTCAGAAATACACATAAAGAGTCTGCAACAAACAGAAAGGAACTGATTACCATAGAAACATATATGTTAGAAGCAGAAAGAGTGAAGGCAAGGTAAGATTTCACTGGAAAAAAGTAATCAAGATGGTCTAGAATCTTTTAATGGAAATTAATACAAGTACCAAGAAGTCCCTCAGCCAGAAAAATCCCAAAGTCCAAAAAACAAAGGACAGACCGCATGCAAAGTATGTAACCAATACACATCTCTTCTAACAGCAATAGCTAAGGATATCCTCCAAAGCCAAGAAATGAGATCTCCTACTTATTTCTAACACATCTACATTTTGTTGGCTATTTCATCCCCTT